GTTTTACCTACAATAGAGGACTGGAGAGTGAAGGTTTCGCATCTTGCTGAAATGGCAAAGATTTCGGCTTATTTGAAGGATCATTCAAATGAACAATTTTTATCAATATGGAGAAGATGGATTGTTTATATTCAAAATAAGCATAGAATGGTGGAATATAGGTTAGGTTTTTAGATAAAAAAAATTTCTTCTTTTTTTTATATATACATATATTTCACCTACTTATGTAGAATTATATTTTGTGGAGCTAGGGATATTAGTATAAGGTTACTTTTAGTTGAATAGTATCCTGGGATTAGGTTTGGGAAGTCCGGGTGGGGGGTGGGGTGGGGGTTTTCTAATTGTGATGTACTTGTGATTGCTTTTTTTCTTATGTTGAAAACAATAAAAAAAATTTTTGGAAAAAAAAAGAAAGTAGTGGAAATTAGGAACAAACTTCAGTTGGTGAGATGAGATGTGTTTAAACATGCTTGGGATAAACACATGTTCATCATCCGACAAAAATAAAAAATAAAATAAAGATTAATAAAATTTAAAAATAATAATTAAAAAATAAATTAATTAGAAATTAAAAAAACAAACTCAAAGTGCAGACTCAATGGAACATTCGGGTTTTTTCTGCCATCAGGTTTCTATGTTTATATCCCAGAAATACCCCTTACCTATGTATTTAAAAAGTAGGATGCATTAAAAAAAAAACTATAGATGAAACCAATTCTGTCAGAAGGGAAAAAATTGCAAACTTATGTATGCTTCTACCTTCTTCTGACAATAGGAGACTTATAATTGATCTTCAAAAGCAAGGAATTGTTCTTGGATGGCATTTTTAAATATATATAAACCAACATGAACACCAATAAAAATCTAGGCACAGCAAAAATGCAACATGTCAGGGAGAAAACTAGAATCACCAATTCACTAATTAGAATCACTAATACTAGTTGTCTAGTTTTTTTAAGTAGAGAATACAATGGAGGAATACAAAGAATGGGACATTTGGACACACGGTGTCCAAACTATAGTAGGCCCTTTTGTCACAACCTGGGCACATGAGTGCAAGAACCACTGGAATTCTATGGTAAACATGCCCACCATATAAAGATATAATTCATGATAAACATAATACTGATAAAGAAGAATATTTGTAGCTCAGGGTTGAAATAAGGAGTTCTTGGTGCTCTCTGAGCTTGGTTGTTTTCTTGCAGACGTTTCATTACCCAAACTAGGTAACATCATCAGTAGACTGGTGATGTTACCTAGTTTGGGTAATGAAATGTATGCAAGAAAACAACCAAGCTCAGAGAGCACCAAGGACCCATCAAGGTAAACATGATCATCCTCTCAGACTGATTACATGAAGCATTTCCCATCCAGATCACACCGGTGGGTATCTTAAATATTATCACTTCATTCATCCCATGAGTGGCAAAAAAGCAATATTCCTACAACATAATTGCAAAGTACTGTAGATTATTTAAAAGAGAACCGTGATCCCAAGATCAGTCCAAAGAACTTCATGGATGACCTGTCATTTGAACTCAACTTTCTCTTCTTTGTCTCCCACATAGTGCATGGGTCCTCCCCTTCTTATTAAAATATGATGTGACTGTAAGCTGCCTAGAGTCGCCTCAGCAAGAGGGGGGACACAGAAGTTAAATAAATAGATAATCAAATGATCGCTAATAGGAATCAAACTTACCTTCTTCAGCTGGAAGTTCTACAGGTTTCCATGGGGGATCCACAAAGCACAGCCAATGGGAAGGAAGGAAAAAGAATAAAAGATTGTTGATTTGCAGAGATATAGACTTTACCTAATCTTTCAGAAGCTCCATGTTTTATTCTCCCAATAATCAATGATTTTGCAAGTGCTAAAATTGAGAAAAAAACAACCCAATTTTTCCCCTATTCCCTTGGAGTGAGATGAGCAGCAAAATAAATAAATAAATAAATAAATAAATAAATAAATAAATAAATTCACCCAATTCACTCTAGTGTCACCAGATACTAATAAATGGATCTGACAATTTCAAAATGTGTACAGGTAGTCCTTGACTTATGATCACAATTAAGCCCCAAATTTCTATTGTTAAGTGAGACATTTGTTAAGTGACTTTTACTCCATTTACAACCTTTCTTGCCACAGTTGTTAAGTGAATCACTATAGTTGATAGTAACCCGGTTGTTAAGTGAATCTGGTTTTCCTGTTGCCTTTGCTTGTCAGAAGGTCTCAAAAGGTGATCACATGGGACACAGCAATATGAACCAGTTGCCAAGCATCTGAATTTTGATGATCATGGGGCTGCTGCAAAGGTCATAACTGTGAAAAACAGTCATGTCGTATTTTTCAGTGCCATTTAAACGGTCATTAAACAAACTGTTGTAAGTCAAGGTTTACCTGTAATGATATGCCATCCAATGCCCATAAATCAATGCTGTACCATCACTATTCCACACAAATAAAAGACAAATTATAGTATGAAATTGGCCTCCAATTGGCTTTTCAGCATAATTTTTCAGCATAGCATAGAAAAACTCAAAGAAGTAGTGCAAGAAGAGAAGACTTGGAGAGACCTGGCCCCTAAAATCGCCAAGAGTCAGACACGACTGAATGGATAACAATTGTCATGATCAGAGGCTTTTCAAAATGCCATCTTTGATGTCCAAGAACCCTGGATGTATGATAGAAAGCTGGTTGGAGGCCAGAAAGAACTTTTCTGTTTCCCATTAAGTGAATTACAAGCAGGTTTGGATCAATAAATCATCCCACATGAGTGGTTACCATAATCCCTAAACCCTTCTTCTTCTTTTTGGCGTCTACTAAAAATGTTACAAAAGATTATCAAAACTTTATAATTCTAATCTAACCCATCTAATCCAACAACTGCAAACATTGGATTTTCTCAAGCTTATTTTCCCCTTCTTGAAAACCATAAGAGAATTCATAAATAAACTAATGAAAGCCTTCATTCTATAGTTTTGCATTTATTGGCAAGAGCAAAGATTACATCTGGCTGTCTTGTAATATAATAGGATTGTTTTGAAAGCATTGTGTTTACTTATTTCAAATTTCAACATCCTTCTACCCTTGTAGGAATTTTCCATGTCATTTTGGACAGGTAAGGGTGAATATTAAACTTCAGGGATCTACTTGCCCCAATCAAGCTGGCTTTTTGTAAGTGTCAGTCCTATGTTATTGCTTTTACTGTAAATGCTTTTTATTGTTTCAGAATTGTAAGCCACCCAGAGTAATTGATTGAGTTGGACGGTTAAGAAATTGAATGAATGAATGAACAGACAGAACAATGATGGCCTACAAAATATTTCTTCTCCCATTTTTTAATCCTCATAGTAGCCTTATGAATTAATGACCTAACCTAGTTTTTTTAAAGAAATATTATTTGTTAAGTCATAAACCTGGGGGTTTCATAGAACCCTAAGCCATACACATTGGATTACATGCTTAGTATTATTATTATTTAGCGTATGATGAGAATGTGACAGAAGAGAAGTAAACATATATATACACTCCACATGTTACATGCTGTAACAGTTGGATAGACACATCATACTGAGTTAAAATTACAGTAACGCCACATCATGTCTTAGCACAATGGATGAATCCACACACATCTAAATTTAGCCAGTGAGTTTGATGGCTGAGGTGCAGTTTGAACCTAGAACCCTCTTATCTGTCCTGGTCTCCCACTGTTAACTAAAATATACCATGCCAGCAACACAAGTCTTAGTGATTTAAATACATCATAATTATGCATGAGTTTTATCTGCGATAAAAAACAAAATCTTAAATATGACAGTTGGGGGGAGGGGAGAGGGGAATTGACATTTTAAATACAGTATTTTGAGCTTTTTTTCAAGAAAACCTTTAGATTGCTACAGAAACACAAGAGAATAGATAAGAATGCTCAAAAGCATTATGGGATGATACTCGTCAGATTCACCCACTCTCATGTGCCTCTTAAGTGACAGTAAATATTTCATGCAGATCGTTGAAAAAAATATAATTCAACAGAGGGGGGAGGAATTAAAAACTCTGGGTTCTACAAACCTGCTCATTTGCACATTTAAAACATTCACATACACGTGGACACCCCCCCCACACACACACACTTTGATTAACATTCAGTAAATGAATTCACTATTCATAGCAGGCCCCCAAGTGACTCACAACTGCAGAGAAACTACAGAATAACGCCTTTCACTGCAGTTAGGGAGCAATTTGGTTTTCTGCAGAGGAAGTGAGAGCACCAAGGCTGATAACCCATGGGGCACTTGGCAGATACTGACTCTGTAGCTCTAAGTTAGGTTACTCAATAAGGACCCTTTTAGGCAAGCTCAGAACTAGAGTCCTTTGCCTAGTCTTTACTTTTCATACGCATTGGAAGAGACCCCCCCTTCCCTCTAGCCACATAGATGTGAGAAGTTTATGGAGATTCATCCAGGTCATGGTTGTCCCAAAGGTGCTTTTCCAAAAGGCAGCTGAACTTTCTTGAAAGCAGAGAGCTAATGACTGACCCCCAGAGTGCTAATGACCAAATGACTGCAAAGAATATAAATCCTTCCATTCCCCACATTCAGTTAGAACTGAAGAAGCTTCTTGGATGAGAAGCGAAACATTTTCAAGGAAAAAACCAAGGAAGTCCAGTTGCCTTTTGGAAAAGCACCTTTGGGATAGGTGTGAGAGGATGATGGGGAGGATGTCCATCTTGCCTTCAAAGTGTTAGGATAGGCAAGCTTCAATCTCACTGGACACACGCCTGATTTGTGCAAGAGAGAAACAGATTCTCACTTCTACTGAAATTTTAATTCTCTCTTGCTGGCAAAAAAACAACAACAACCCAGCAGAAGTTAGAAGGAATAAAAACTTTCAAACACAGGAGAAATATCTACCTCACTCACACAGAGCCAGAAAATTGAGCTCTCTCTAGCGCAGCTCAACTGCCTCAGTTGGTATTGCTTCTGTACAGATTCTGACAGCTGGAGTTTAAAACTGAGGGAATACCGGCAACGGAGGGACGGAAACTTGAGGTATCGTCCACAAGGGGAAGCAAGAGAGAAAGGCTTGGATTAGGAAAGCATCAGACAACAAGACTTGCAGAATAGGGAAGCATTTTAAGGGGAGAGTAGTGTTAGTCTAGGGCGGTTCTTCTCAACCTTAGCAACTTTAAGACGCTTGGACTTCAACTCCCAGAAATCTCCAACCAGCAAAGTGGATGGACTCAGTTACAGTGACGCTTAATGCACCATTGGAAGAACTGAAAGACCAGGTTAAGGATAGATCGTCATGGAGAAACTCTATCTGTGTGGTTGCTAGGAGTCAAAAATGACTTGATGGCACATAATCAACTGAACTGTGATGTTATTGTTGGCAGCTGTCCTAAGTGCTCCTAGGTTGAGGCTGAAATGCGAGCAAAATAAATAGAACGTATAAGACTGCATAAGTGGTAGGGTTCAGGGTAGGAAATCCCCAACAGACAAAAAACACTGTTTATATCTGTGGGATCACATGTCTTTAACTGTATATGTCATATCAGCAAAGGCCTTTTCCGCCCATTCACAAGCAGGAGGAAGAGGATCTCAGTCACAATTTAAATATTATTAAGTCACAATATTAAATGTTATTAAGAAAATCAATTTCAAACAGTTTAGGTTGCAATGCTGATGAGGTCTCTTGGAAATTGGTGAGTTGGGGGGGGGAATAAACTTGATTTCATAGGCTCCTTAATTACCAGAAAAGCCATGTTTAGATAGAATCAAGCTCACTTGAAGTGTTAATATCACTTTATAATGCCTTGGTAAGACCTCACTTGAAATATTGCATCCAATTTTGGTCCGTACAATATAAAAAAGATGTTGAGACTCTAGAAAGAGTGCAGAGAAGAACAATAAGGAACTGGAGGCTAAAACACATGAAGAAAATTGCAGAAATTGGGTATTTTTAGTTTAATGAAGAGAAGGGCTAGCGTGACATGATGGCAGTGTTCCAATATTTGAGGGGCTGCCACAAAGAAGAGGGGCTAAACTATTTTTCAAAGTACCAGAAGGCAAGACAAGAAGCAATGGATGGAAACTAATCAAGGAGAGAACCAACTTGTCCTCGACTTGCAACCATTCATTTAGCAACCGATTCATTTAACGACAATATGATTCACTCATTGTGAACCATGACAAAAAAGGGTGTAAAGTCAGGTGTGTCTTCCTTAACAACTGCCTGGAAATTCTGGCCCCAATTGTGATCATATCTTGAGGATTACCTGTAGTGACTTGGTTCCTGGGCCTTTGTGGGTGGGGGCATACAAGGGGAGACAAAGCATGCTTTGTTGTGTTGCAATGCAAATTCCACCTCTTTCGTACTTGCATTATGATGTTGCATGGAAGTTTGTAAGGGGCTTGTGTGTTAGACTATTTTGTTGGATTACGTGCTTAGCTCTAAAGTAGAAATCCTCAATTTTTTATTGACTAAGAACCCTACTTCGTTTACACGTGTTATATTGAGGGGAGGCCCCATTCCCAAAATTAGTGAACGAGGCAATAATTTTCCAGTTATGTATTTATTACATTTCCTCTTTTGTTATGTTGTCAGTTACAATTTTGTATGTGTGTATGCAGGCTTGCATGCAGTTTTGGTAGGCTCTAATTTGGGCTCAACTACCATAAACATGGCTTACAAACCATAATGAACTCACTTTGTTTG